CGACGCTGAATTCTTTAGCGTTTACGCTGAACGATCCATAGAGACCCTAAACCGGCCCAGGATGAGTCTTTTCACAGACTTCAGTGAAATTCAGTCGAAAGTTTTTCAGCAAGAGATGTTTAAGGCACTGGGCCTGAAGTGCAAGAAAAAGAACATGAAACTTAGGGCGAACGGCTCTTATCGGGCAATAGAATATGACTGCAAGCTCACAAAGCGCCTAGGTATTCCAGGGAGAGGAGGGTTGGCCACTAAAAATGCGATAGATAAGGCCAGACTTAAGATAGCGAAGCGAATATTCACGGTGCGTCAGTATAGTCAGGAATGGCTATCCCATTTCGACGAGAATGAAGGCCGTGCGACGCGAGGAGAAGATGCTGAGGGTTTGATAGGAATGGAGGTAGGCGTCCGTCCCTCATGCGTCAAGTTCATATTGCTGTGTGTTGCGGCAGCTCTCGGCGTGGCTCGAATAGTATCTGGCACGCTTGTTGACTACAGACGAATATCAGAAGACTTCCTGCTGAGGGCATCGCCTAGCGGAGGCTGCTTGGACGGCCCTGGCAACTGGAACGGAGATCATCGACGTGGATGGCGAGTGTACAAATTGAGAGACAGAGGTGGTTTCGGTTACTCAAATCAAGAAGTGTCAGATGACGTCGAAATTCCTCACTACGCCCGCCCTCCAGCGGCAACAGACGGGACATAACGGATAGAAAGGGGGGCAAGGACATCTCATTGAGACGTGGATATTGCCAACTGTGTCAAGCATCAAATCTGGTGTCTCGATAACGTCTTGCATGTCCGGTACAAGTTGCAAAAAGAGGTTTTCGAGTAAATTCTTCTTGCTCTACCTGCATAGAATGCTTAATATGGCTTCATGCTTGTATCGGGAAGCAACCCACGAGAGAAAGTACCCGTTTTCCTCTCGGAGCCGTGTGAGAATCACCACAAGAGGAAGTACTAAGGGTATGTCTTCGAAAATCATGCAGTCATCAATCAGAATATCAGACCATCTGAAGTACAGGGGGGGGTCGCGATATAGTGCTACCCTATGTCAGTGGGCCGAAAACGGCACTATATCGAACCAGGCACTGTTAGATAATGAGATTTACGGCTTTTTTGCAGCCACTTCCTTGCATCACTGCTCAGAAAGTCCGCTCGCAGGACGCCATCACTCATGCTTTGTATCTTCACTACAGACTCAAGTCTAATCAAGCATTTCTGTTATTAGTAGCTGCCGAGCCGTTGCATTGACTTCCTCCTTTTTCGCAGCCATAAATGCCAGCCTACACTTTTGCAGATGTCCAATTGCATCATCGACCCTGCCTTTTTCCGCCATAGTCTCTATTCGAGTTGGCAACTGCATAATATCTTTCCGCGGCGGCAGCGGCTCTCGGGCAGTACACACATGTCCATCCAATTGCCTCCCTGGAGACCCTTCGTTTTTGGCTCAAAATTCGTGCCACCCGCAGAAGGATAGCACTATATCGGAGCTGGCACTAACAAATATGGCACTATATCGCGACCCCCCCTGTATTCTGATTTCAGAAATCATGAAACCTCGTAATCCAGTATGAGAATATCTGTTTCTATCATAGGAAATCTCTATGCCTGACATTGGTGTCGGGACAGATGCAGTGTGGGATCACAATTTGATTTTCTGTGAAAACCAAACTGTGATCCCATACTATAGGTGTTGTAGCATCAATATTGGGAGAAGAGAATGATCTCTTCAGTGTGTGTAACAATGAATAGTTAAGATTCTGCAGAGGTTTAGTGGGCGTGCGGGCAGTTTTGAGGGCGTTACGACGCCGGGAGTTGAGGGCAGGCTCCTGCCGGACGAGAGTCTTCTCGCGTAAGTTGGTCGAGTTTATTCGCTGAGGGCCAGTCCTAACAAAGGACTTTTTTCTCGTTTTTCCTTTCCCTCGCCCCGTTTTTATTGAGTTCTTCACTAAAATCGGAAGCACATTGCTGTAGTTTTTACTGTAATGCCATCCCAAAGTTCCACTCCTCAGAAATGGAACAGATTCTGGACGGTCTGCAGATCCATGCAGCATGGAAGGTACAGCAACGCCTCCTCGCGCATGCACATGGCCCAGTCTGACTCCCTGTAGCTCGACAAAAGCAAAGCTGGACGACGTGTTGCTATAATGAGGTCCCTCGATGTGCATGACCAAAACTGGGCTGGATTGAGATATGAAACGAAAGATATGGAAGGGATGGAGGGTGCGGGGAGAGACTGTGTCGGTGTCGATGTGAGGAGGATGACGCGGTAGCGGGGACAATAGCATGTCGGAGGATGTGTGTTGGTCACGGTACTGAGGAGGTGAGGAAGATGGTGATGGGGCGTGGTGGTCGGGCGCGAGGTAGGGGTGGCGGGGAGGAGGGGACGTGGGGATTTTGGGGGGGAAGGGGGGGTGGCGGGGAGGGGACGTGGGGATATTGAGGGGAAGGGGGGTGGCGGGGAGGAGGGGACGTGGTCATATTTGGGGGGGAAGGGGGGTTGGTGGCGGGGGGGAGGGAGCGAGGGCGGGGTGGTTCACAGGAAAGGGATTTCGGCGAAGCCACTTCATCATCGATCATGAACTAGAGAGCAGCCTCCCCGGCTTCTTTCCATTTCATGATCGATGCCAAGGAGGCATTTGATTTCAAAAAGCTGAACTCTGGGTACCCTTCTGCCGTCCGGTGGTGCTCCGTTTCCTAAACAGAGTGTAACGTTGAGAGAACCAATGTTTTGATCTGCATGTGCTCGTATTTGGATTTAATTCCACCCTTTCATTGTACTGCAAGTGCCACTGCACCGCATCGAGTCCATGGAATTTTAGTAGTGTGCATATGGACTGAGTGTGGACTGGTACTTCCTTTAGCCAATGGATTTCGACCAGTTTGCAGAATTACCAAGCATTACAGTGGTTCTGTGTAGCATTCGTTGTGGCGTGCGATTAATTTAATGAAATGACCCGGCCAATAGCGTGACCGCAACTGGTTGAAGAAAAAAAAAAAAAAAAGAAAAGCGCCTGTTAGGACTGGCCCTGAGTCGTTCGTGTCTGTGTGTTCTCTCCTCTTCGATGCTAGTGTCTAGACGACAAGCAATTTGACCTCATATGAGGTCAGTCATGGCCTCATATGAGGCCAGCTTTTTTTTTGCAAAAATATATAAATTAAATCGAAACTTTAAAACATTCAGTTTGGACACCATTTCTTTAACGTATACGCGCTCGGCAATAACATCTTGCAAAACATTGGGATGGCGGTTGTCAATGCACAGAGAGACTGCGAATCTAATGAAGTATCAATGATGAGTTGGCTTTTTAAACAGGCGTTTTGGTTTCGAAGATATCAACATAAAACGTTTTGAGGTTGGTCAAAAAAGGCTCCTTTTTGGGCATTTTAAAAATGGCTGGAGAAGACGTGCAGATCTCACCAAACTCCACCCTTCCACAACGCAGAAGTCAACTGCCGTGTCGAGAGTATCTTTTTTCCATCTTGTTCAGCTAGCACAAGTCGAGAAAAATAAGTTGAAAAGTGGCCTCATATGAGGTCATTTGTCACCTAGACACTAGAGGAGGTTGTGATACTAAAAAGCTAAATCGAAAGGCAGAGACAGTTTCTCTGTTCGGGATCTGGCGGAGGCACTGTCCTGTTGATCGGGATCCTGGCAGAAGCGATCAGGACCAGGCTGACTCTCCGAGGGGTGTTACTGTAATCTTCTTGTCGCCGACTGATGTCAGATCATGTCAACATGATCGGCGGCGGCCGAGATGCCTGTTTCATCAATAGGATACTGTATCCTTTACTTCTATTTCATTTGCACATAAAGATTCGTCTCCTGACTTGAGGGTGTGTCTTAACATGCCCCGTTTTGCTGCGGTTTGCTTTGCCTTGCCCAAAGAAGTGACTTGGCGTGCTATGAGTGGCTCCTACGTTTTAATTTATGTGTTTAAGAAAAGCAACGGCTTAAGAAGCATACGGTATTTGTTAAGAATTTAAAAGTATTCCTGGCAAAACCGGGCAAGGCAAAGCAAAAACCAGCCTGTTAAGACACGCCCTGAGGGCCATTGCTGTCCAAAGTGAAATGTAGAGATTGTAAACCGTTTGCACTGTACCCTTCCAGTCTTTCTGTAGCGGGAACTCTCGAACGGAACTGAACTTCAAGCTGATGGAACTGATGTTCTTTCTTTCTGCTAACATTATAACTCTCCTCTACTTATACTATTTGCTGCAGTGTAAGGCTCTCCAATAATTCTCCGATAACTCTCCGATAACTCTCCTGGTGTGCGACATGAAATAATATTTCTTGTCTACGCAATATTCGTGCACTCTCCCTGGCTCATTATAGTGCAATATTCGTGCACTCTCCCTGAATCATTTAGAATAATAATTTGAGAGTCACATATGACACGTTGCACTTTCCGAGTTCATCAGCACGCGAGAGTGCCACGGTCGAGGACGTGCTCTCACGCCTTCGGAGCAAAGGTTACTCAAAGGTACTCTACGTATACGGCAGACATCTGGATGTCTCCCAGTACTGTAAGAGCGTGTCGCGACGTGACTGTTTACACGTCTTCAAATATCGCAGATTTGTTGAATCTCGTCCGTAGAATCAATCGCCAGTCAGCCTCTCATTCAGTTGAGTTGAAAATCGCCACGCCTTTAATCTCGCCCCATCGGTCATCCAGCGGATACACCCATGCGAAAGGCAAAGCTGTCAAAGGGTTCAAAGCCCTCACTTCTCCTCGTTCGTTGAGCTGCCAAATCAAGGGCGGCACTACACCCAATGGAAATGTACTTTTTTTCCATCAATGCGTAAAAGTCTGGTAACACTCTTCATCGCTTCCAATGCCCTGGCGAATGCTGTACTCAGAAAAGAGGTCACGAGAGTGAGGACGAAAATTCTAGCTAGAGCTGCAGAAACTTGTTCCGTAGCAACGTGTGTCTCTTGTTGGAACAGAACAAAGCAGGCGTCACATTTTGTTCCTTTACTCTTATAGTAATCGAAATGCATGTTCATTGGCGGCAATACAGTCTGGCGACCCCAACAATCTTACAGAAAAAAGATCGCGTATTTTATTATTAGACACCCCAAACCCAGGCCTGCACCGGGCTGCCACAGCGCAACTCACTCGTCTTTCTCAACTGAAGGGGCCAAGTTATTTGTCGTAATGATTGGGAAGTTCGTTCTCTTCGCTAGCCTTGTGGCCTTGGTCATGGTCGCTCAAGCAGCTAGAGTATCACATGGCATGGCGGGCAAGTCACGCACGACTGATTCTAATGTGCCAACCGATGCTATTGGGTTCACCGACCGGAATTTCGGAGGCAGGAAATGTCCTTGTAAATGCCATGCCAAGAAGGCGAGGGCAAAAGACAGCTGCCACGGACGGAGTGCCTGCAAGGTGGGGAGATGTACCTTTGGTCTGCTCCGAAAAGGCCACAATTGCTGTGATAAATCCAAACGCGGAATCATTTGCTATGGTCCGTATTGCGGTTAGGAAGAGTCTGGATTGTCGGAGCCGCATTAATTCTGTGTCGATAGTTTAGAACGGACTATCAAATTCGCGATTGGGGTTGAGTTTGAATGGGAAGGGACATGATACGGCACTTCGCTGAAAAGGTCACACCTTGCGCGCCGATTCGACAGCCGTGGAGGCTTGCAGTACCAAGCCAGAAGCAAGTAGCGTTATCTCATGAAGAAGTTAGCATGTTTGAATAAAGGGAACAAAGAGTCAAGTTGCATCGAACTTCCTTCAACCAATGAGAGGATCTGTCGCAGAAGGTAGAGATGGCGGTGACCCCAGCTAAGCAAAGCGGAAGGTGCACCGTGAAAGTACTTTTCGACTGTAGCGTGAATATGTTTGATGAACTTGCAATGAGCGCAATTTTGACATGCTGCAGGTCCCTCAGTTTGTCTAATCCAGGAGCAATCTTGCTGCGTTTTCTCTCGGTCATGTTACACAACGTATGTGACCTCCACATAGCACAAGACGGATAAGGTCGGCCGTTTGGGGTCTACTAGGGCCAGTCCGCATACTGGCTTCTTTGAGACCGGCTCGCTTCACCCAATAGACCGAGCCATCACTACAGTGCTGCTCACGTCAATAGTGGGTTTACGCATAACGAATTCTGCAATAGAGAGTTTACGAATACAAAATTCCGTTCTGCATGACAACGAAATATGACTCACAGACACTGTCGTTTTTTGGACGGAAAACCTACAAGCCTGCTGTTACGATGATTCACTACCGATCAATAAATGAGTATTACCTTCCAAGCTTTTTACCCCATGAATGTTGTCTGGTTAACACAGTTAGAAACATGCGTCAGAAAGACTATGCAGTTGGTAAAGCAAAGCAGCGGATGCGACCTCGCCGCAAGAACGTCCTATTTGCCCTCGCGAGCGATGCCGATGAACTCTTGCTCGTTGATCTCATCTATGTTGTTATGGAGAACATGGATCACGAAGGTGGGCGAGGGTCTGGGATGGCAAGCACGAAGTATTTGGCGGCAGCCGAACCCCTCCATATGCCCCATATGCACCATATGCACTGTGATGACCACTGAGCAAAAGGGGAGGTGCCGTTGGCCAACGACGTGAGAGAGGAATGACTGGGAGTCATATGAAGGAATCACCACATGCACCATATGAGGGCTCTTCACGGCTGTTTTTCTTGTTTCGTTAAGTCAGGGCCATTCCATTCATCGTGATTGGCAATCACGCAATCACGCAATCACGCAATCACGCAATCACGTCAATAAATGGTGCCTGCTCCCTTGTGGTTGGTTGTTTATATTACGTTTCCTAAAAAATGGTCATGCTCATTAAAGAAATAAACAATCGACTTAAAATTAATCTTGTTCTCCAACTTTCTGTAATGCTCCTTGCAATTCTAAAAGATTTAAACCCCATTCAAATAAGCAAGAAGTGCGTTAACACATGCACATGCAAAGCCGTGGAAATGTGCTTACAGCTACAAGTAGCACACGTTGGAGAAAGGAACGATGCAGAACGACGTTAAATTAATGTCGTGATCGCGTGATTGCGTGATTGCATGATTGCTAATCACGATGAATGGAATGGCCCTCAAGCTCCAGGTGAAAAATGAAAAGGCCGTTCTCCCATTTTGCATCTTACACAGGACAGTTGTGACACGATTCACAGAAAATTGTACAAATGCGAAAATCATTTTTTCGTAAACCCTCCAATTTTCTCCAAAAACGGTTCGCTTGGTGTGTTTATTCAATGAACATACCAAGCGAACGGTCATTGCAAATGCAATGAACTTCATTGCATTTTTACCGAATTTCGTGATCTCGATCAGAGTTTTTCAAGAAATGTTTCACCTTTTCTGTAACTTAGGGTGACCCCACCGCGCCTTGCCCAAAATCGCAAAAAGCAGACAGTTGTCCTCCGGTAATTGGATCTACTATCTTTTAATCAAGCCGCGCTTTGGGGGAGGTGGTGATTCAGAGATGAACCCCACCGCGCCTGTAACACGATACTTCTATCATATTCAGGGTCACCCCAATTAGGCTACAAGTCTGTCGTAGAAATACATTTGGCGCAAAGAAGCAAGCTACTGCACGCGTCTGTTGCACAATTGGCGCAAAGTCATTTGGAAGAGCTTTGGTAGAGCTGTAAGCACATGAAATTCAGATGTTTTTTGTACCGTTACTATAGAACGAAGATCGCCCAAACGGCGCTTTGGACAAAAATCTCGACCAAATAATTTTGGTTTGGAAAAGAATCCTGCCCAAATTCTAAACTTTAGGACGAATGCTGGCGCAGTGGGGTTAGAAATCTCTTCCATCGGTCCAAACTTTAGTAGTTGGATTTTAGGACTGAAATTTTGTTGGCGGTGGGGTCACCCTTATCACAGACCTCCTTGACTATCGCCGAGCAGTACCATTCTCACCGGCTCAATTTGGGTCGGTCTAGAATTTTCAAAAAATCGGTCATTTTACCCCAGTACTGGCCAGTTTCCCGGTACCAAAAATCTTTGGTTGGCGCCTCTCCAGGCCATCCGGCTCAATTTGGGCCACCTCCCCGCGGCACTTTCATTTCAGTTGCGACAGCCCGAGCCACGTTCGCGCCGCGGAGTCGTGCCGATCTCCACGAGAACTCCCTTTGTTCCCCTGCAACCCAACCGCCGATCGCCGTGGCCACTTTTTTAGGGGAACATCATCAAGAGAAGCCCAAAACTACACTCTAAGTTACGCCCAATGCCATGGCCCTTGACAGGCGACCTGTTTTCTTTTTCACAATTCAAATTGCTCGAAGAAGCACGACAGCGACATTCGAAAGCCTTTGAGCTTACGTCTTTCACACGCGATACACATTTAAAGTTGTAGTTGGCGTGAGAGACTTTCGAAGTCAACACTGCCGCTGCTTGCATTTTGCGACCTTTTTTGCGTCTTCATCGATTCATAACCGCTATTTTGGAGCTCGTATCTCGCTCATCAGAATGTTTTAAACTCGATAGTCGGACCGACGGACACAAGATACCTTTTCAAGCGCTTGTGACGCTTGTATCCTACCGTCTGTTAAGGCATGAATTTTAGATTGTAATATCATGTTGGTGACCCGTGCGGCCATATTTGTTCTTTGCCCCATCAAAACACGTTCTTCACTGCGAGGAGCATCGTCATGCTCCTTTGTGGACCGATTTGCGGACCCTTAAAATGTCGCAAAATGGACAAAACGATAGTTCATAGGCCACAAGCCACATTTTATGAATGAGGCGCTGGCATCCTCCGGTGAAATGGACTGGTATCCGGCCTTGGCCAGTTTGATCTTGTACGCAGTATTTTCCCACGACAAATGCCTCATAGACAGAAGATGGTCTTGTTTTTCCCTAACTGTGCGCTGGAATGATCGATTGACGAATTGATCACAGGGTTGGAGAATATGCGTTGTGTTTGCCGGAGCTATTTTGGCGTGCACTGTGCTCATAACAGCATTATCAACAGCAAATCCACGCCGCGTGGCATGAAGCGTTATGTTGACTAAAAGGCGTTCGTCGTCTGCCGACAACACAGTCGTGCGGCCAGCATGATTGCCTTCTGGATCTAGAAATTTTTTTAGCTCGTCCGTCTCTGAGCTTTCGTACGCCTTTATTATTTGCGTGGCTGTTGTGCGGGACACGCCTGTGTCTCGGGATGCTTCGCGTGCGCTTTCACCTCTTTGGATTAACGAAAGAAGCTTGGCGCGGCGAGCACCCTCCTCTCTTCTTTTCGTGATTCTTTTCTTGTGTGTGAGAGTTTGCGCTCTCATTGACGGTGGCATACTGCCACTGCCGAGCCGAACGTCGCTTACAGAGGAGGAGGGAGGGATTCGCTGTCGGAATGCGCGGTATGAGTTGGTGAGATGGACTGTGGGGATTTTGGGAAGGCGGGGAGGGCTAGTGTCTAGTTGACAAATGACCTCAGATGAGGTCACTTTTCAACTTATTTTTCTCGACTTGTGCTAGCTCAACAAGATGGAAAAAAGATACTCTCGACACGGCAATTGACTTCTGCGTTGTGGAAGGGTGGAGTTTGGTGAGATCTGCACGTCTTCTCCAGCCATTTTTAAAATGCCCAAAAAGGAGCCTTTTTGGACCAACCTCAAAACGTTTTATGTTGATATCTTCGAAACCAAAACGCCTGTTTAAAAAGTCAACTCATCATTGATACTTCATTAGATTCTTAGTCTCTCTGTGCATTGACAACCGCCATCCCAATGTTTTGCAAGATGTTATTGCCGAGCGCGTATACGTTAAAGAAATGGTGTCCAAACTGAATGTTTTAAAGTTTCGATTTAATTTATATATTTTTGCAAAAAAAAGCTGGCCTCATATGAGGTCAAATTTCTTGTCGTCTAGACACTAGAGGCTCGTGATTTGGAAGTGGCCCAAATTGAGCCGTGGCCCAAATTAAGCCGGTGAGAAGGGTACAGTACTCGACGTTTTACCCACACAACCCTTTGTGCTCTTCTGTAGCAGAGCCGTGGGGATTTTCAGACACAGAAGGAACACTTCGGCATTTTGAAGAGGTTTTGAATATGTCTCCCTTTTGACAGCTGTCTTGATAAGTCGAGATGCTTTTCATGTCATCAGCCTGATTGCGCGTAAAACATGAACTATTTAGACAAAGGACACTCTAAATTGGGAATGTATAATTTCTTTCGGCATGCTACCCCATCAGGAAAGCTACAGAATGCTAGGGACACAAAATCTCTATGGCAGAACTTTCGAAGAAGTTAAGAAGGGGACATAAATCAGCTGATACACTCTAAGATGCTGAAGTAAATAATAGACACGTGCGGAATGTCCCTAACTATCCCGCCCTCCCCCGATTAGCTCTAGCCATTTCCGTGCTTTAGATAAAACGACAGGGAGAGCTTGGTTTTTAATGCTTCAACGAACAAAACTTGGAGCAATGAATTCCGGACATCGTGCCTACGATACGTGGACTCCACTACAGCTTCTTGGAAAGTAGCAAGGGAAGTGAACGCAGCGTTATGGCATAGTGAAGTGTCCGCGAAATGTTGAACGTAGAAATATGTGGGCATGGATGGGGTTTTGTCATGGCCGTCGGCCTCGCTACTTTCGGTGGCCCGTTAACGATGCGAGGCATGCTTCAAACCCAGTTCCAAAATAGGAATATGTTATAGATGCGGCATCAGCGACTCAGAAAGGTCCCTGCGAAAATGCTTTTGGGGCAGACTAAACATCTTGAGGTTTTCATATCAAAGCTGGTAGTGAAAACACCACAAGCGCGTCTATATACGTCACATCTGGGCACAACTGTCTTCTCAGAAGTCAGAAGTATAGTTGATTTTAAAGGGAAAGCGAACATTGCCAGACAAGGTAGATATGCTCGTGCACTGTAGAAACATGTAACAAAGTGACTCTGGGAACGTTTAGAATGATGAAGAGCTGTCTTCTTATCCGGACAAATAGATAGAAGCTAAATTAGGCTAGAGTCGTTGAAAGAGTGCACTGCAGACCTAAGCGATTGGTGCAGAAGAGAGCCTTCGGGAACGTGAAAGCACATTCGTTATGATATATTTGTATGGTGAGGCGTGTGAGGGATTGAAAACATTTATACCCTTTTACCGTCAACGTTTTTCCTGGCTAAATCGGATTGCAAATGTTGAGTCTTGTTCATAAAGTCAATGAAATACTTTTGGCAAGATTAGGAAGGCATCTTTGAGTGTAGAATGCTTAATGAGTAAGATGGCATTGTTGTTACCATCGCTGGTGTCGCGGGATGGATATCAACAATAGCAACATGTGAAAAGCCAAAAACATACAGGGTTCATCCATAGGCATCGTAGACAGACAGTCGCATTTGATAATTCAGATAACTATAGCTCTACTGTTTACGTTTCCATTGAGACCGTGGATTTCGGCATGGCATGACACTCTCAATTTTGGAGAGCCCCTCGTTTTTGCTTTGAGACAAGCCTTGGGTGTGATTGCCTCCTTCCGGGAAGAGAGATTCCTAGATGATGCACACAGAGTTCGTCTATGAAGAAAAGCAAGACAGATAGAGAGAGTAGCACGGTAACGAAAGAATTGAGCAAGTGAGCTTGAACATCTTTATCGCAGCGCAAGAGATCAACTGCAGTTGTAACATGTGTTTACGCAAGGTTTGGCAAAAGCGCATTCCTGATGCCACTGTTGATTGTTGGGATGATGTCAACAGCGGTTTCTGTGTGAAATTCTGATGATGTTAACTCACACACTTATAACGGGCGAGCATTCGATCGCGCTCCCCATGCCATTGGGTGAAGCACATGCACTCGTATGCATCCAGCAATGACTGATTTCCGTCGAAAAATTCTTCTGCACTTGGCTGAATGTTCAGAAAGCTCTCTTTTAACGTGAGCTCAAATCGCACTAAGGTCAAGGCCAACACTCCCCTTTCCTGCTCTACTAGTTTCATTACAAGGTTTCTCGGCACTAGAAGGACATTTTCGATGACGGACCACTACTTCGACCTGGAGGCGATTATTTCGCAGAACGCTCGGCAACTGCCGGTAGCAGACGAGTAGTCAGCTTTACAGCTGTGATACTAATTCTTCTTCACATCTTTTCGCTTGAATTTAATGCATCCCTGCTTCGACGAACCTGGTATAGCAATGAAACGTTTTATTCGCGGTAAGCCAACTTCCATCAATTCGGCCAGCCTGTCTGTCACCCACTTCCTACTAGGAATTTCGTCCACAACAGTTGAAACAAGCATCATATGCATCAGTTTACTAGCACCTCAGAATAAAGGAAATTGGAAAACCTAACTACCAACCCTCCCTAATCGTCAAACCTGTCATCATCGTCATCATCATCATCCCCACGTCCACGCCTGTGACGGCGCCTGCACCTGCAGCACCTCTTCTTGTTCCACCTGCAACGGCAACGGCACCTACGTCTGCGCCGCTTGCGTTTCCTTCTCGGCCTTCTGTCGTCATCATCATCATCATCGTCGTCATCATCATGGTCATCATCATCATCATCGCGCACGGCCGTTTCATCTAGCAGCGTGAGCTGGTCCCCCTTACGGACGGAGAGACCCTTGCCAGCCCGAATGAGCTCATCAGCAGCGACGGGGACCGGCTTGCCGAAGGAGGTGGCAAAGAGAAGGACCAGGGCGATGAGAAGAAGAACGGAGAATCTCATCTTCTTGAGCGGGTTGTTCTTAACGGAAGGTCGGTTTTCTGTGTGATAAGATGAGCGGTTGTGTTGTCGGTTTGAAATTGATGAGTGCAAGTGGGTTTCAGCCCGACGAGACCGAGTATATATAGCGGGAAGGTGAACAGAGAAGTGAGCGACTCCCTTTCCGCTGAGGACCCTGTCTAGTAAAAGACGAGAAGCTTCTAATGGTGTAAAGCATTTTGGGCTGATTTGTGGCAAGTATGGGGGAGATTTGGGATACAACTCCTGTACGAAAAATAGACCCGTTTAAAAAAACTGTTGTAAAATCGTTGCTTGTCATACCAACAGAGAGCGTATGTTGGTATGGCTGACTCCCTTCTGTCTACAGTAAGGCTGGTCGTGTCTGTGGTCGTTGCGATATATTCAGCACTTGGCTGGCGTGTTTCGGTCTGCTCTACCCACTGCCCGGACCCCTTTTTTTTAGACTATCGTACTCTAGCTTCCCTATTAAGTTCCGATCATTCTTCCCTCGTCTCGTCCTGCGACTCCCGTTCCTCTGCGCTCTTTCTTTTTGCGTTTGCTGCCTTTTGCACTTTCTTAGAGTGCCTCCAATCCCTGAGTTCTGCCTATGCGACCCCTCACTGAACGGCCACGGCGCATTGCGGCGTGCGTCAATTGTGACACGTGCACTTCCAGTATGACCCCGTTTCATATTCGTAATGTGTAAAATGTGTTCAACCTGTATGTACCAGTTCACAAACACTATGCGCTAACACGCAGGTTGGTTCACACACCCCTCAGTCGATGAAGACTCCGCCTTCTTCGACTTAAACCCACGTTTCGATATCGACTTCAAAAGACCTTGGTGCTGGCAGTTGTAGTATTCCCGTTGACATTATCCTGTTCAGCATTCTATAGCTGATAGGCGTCCTTTTCGTCAACGCATCAACAACATTTGCCTTACCTTGTACACACCGGATGACATTGACCTCCCCTGATTCGAATGAGTGTCTTATGCGCTGTACCGTCTGCCTGAGACGGTAATCTCTCCCCTCGTGTAGGGTAGTTACAGTGTCGTACAGATCCTTCGAGTCTACGTTCAGTATATGCTTGAAGCTGTCCAACGGAAACAGCCATGACATTGCCATTTTTACATTATATCCCCTGTCGTCAGCATCGGCGCAGGCCAGTATCGCAGCCCCGTAAGACGAGTGACACACCCTTCTTTGCTTCCTGCTGGCCCAATCGATCACGTGGTAAAAGGTTTCCGACTCCCCTTTCACTTGCAAGCTTATTCCTACAATCATTCCTGTTTGTCCATACTGCTTCGCACGCGATATTTTGAATGCAGCATCAGAGAAGGATTCCACTTTTGCCATCGTTATATCACCCTTTAAACTTTTGTACACGATCTCGGCTTTAAGGTCCTTCAGCTCCTTGAGCATTCCGTTTGCTTTTATGATGTGTTCGATCTTTAAGTAGGGTACACACTGTTGCATATATGATCCGACGTATGCTGCTTGTGGCAGTGCTCCTCCCCCCAGCCACACTAGCTCGCCTGCTACTGCTCTGAACATGGCAATTTCTTTCGGTGTCGCTCTTGCTTGTGACATCTTCAGCCTTGGTTTGTCCAGTTGTATTTGGCTTATCGCGTGCATGTACCCGTCTATGGACATCTTTATGGACCCATGCTTGTCCTGTTCTATATCAGCCCCGTTGAATTTTATCTGCCCTCCCAATATCACTTTGCTGATTGGGAATCTTTCAGCTATTAGCTCATTGCACACTTCGATCTGTTTCGTTTCTCCTGCTATGATTAGGTCATCGGTCACTTTTGCCAGTATGAGTTGTATCTCTCCTTTGCCATCTCTGTTCAAGAACATCTGAGGTACTCCATTTACTCTAGTGAAGTTGGCTTTTTCCATTAGCTATTGCTCGAACACCCTTGCCCACTGACGCCCAGCTTCAGGGATTCCGTAAGGCAGTTTGGTCAGTTTCCATAAAACACCCCTCTTTTCTCTCAACTCCGGAGGCGATTTTACGTAGATGTCCCTCTGTATTGGACCACTTTGTAGATAGGCTCCCTTGATGTCCAAACACCCTATCCTGAATCTCAATATCGTTGCCACACTGCACAGCATTCTTATCACGTCAAACTGTGCCGTTGCCGAGTCTTTACGTACATTATTCTTTTCATCATCGTGGTTGCCATGGGGGCATAGCCTGGCCTTCAATCGTTTTTGATTGTTTACTTCAACTTTCACTTTATACATCACGTGTGAGCCAATGACATTTGCGTCTTTGGGCACATCTGCGTCCTGTACCTCCACATAGGAGTCAGGCCAATTTGAGTCATATTCCTCTTGGACCGCTTTTTGCACTATCCACGGCGGCGCGCATTCCATCTTGCGTCTATTGACCTGTTGGGATCCAAGGATTCCATGTATGTCATCCAACACACGTTGTTCGTGAGATTCCAGTTCTATAGGCACGTCAGTTTCCTTTTTCTTTCCGGCTGGTGTTTCCCCTATGTCTTCTATGGGATTTCCCGTAACATTGTTGTTGAAGAACGATCCCTGCATTTTGGTAAGCGATTTTTCTATCTCACCCCTCTCTTCATCAATCGTGTTACTTTTTTAGGTCATCATTTTCCATTGGCATGTCATCATTGACCTTCATGTTTCCTTTTTCATCATCTTCCTTCTGTTCCGTGTCGTCATCTCTGCCCATTTCTGTTATTGACATCAGCTCGTCTTCCAAACTACTCTGCAAAAGCTCCTTGGTGAGCTCTCCCTGCGGAGCTATGCGGACGTGTTCATATGCCACACCCATTGGTAACCCTTTCTTCCTTCTGCGACATTTGAGGACATGTTCTTGTGCTTCTACTACCCTTGCTTCAACCCATCTTGGCCTGTCGTTCTGCTTAGAGGTTTTGTAAAATACCCACACTTTCATACCCGCTTTAAATGAAGTGTGTGGCTGTACGCATGACACCTTAGATCGCATGACCTTTTGAACCGTTCTAATTGCCACTGTCTCCACATGTGCATTTAGTAATTCCTGAGAGACCTCCTGACTTGGCATCCCTAATATTGATGGCGAGTATCCTCTCGCTAGCTGGAATGAGCTCAGCATGGCGTTTCCGTGGAATATGTTTGTTAAAAAAGATGCCCTTGCAACCAGTGTCTGCAGAGACGACGTGCTGTTTTCTTTCGATAGTCTTGATAGTATCAATTTGAATGTGCCATTATTTCTCTCAATCTTTCCGGTTTTAGCAGATGACCGTGATGGTCTAGGTCTCAGCTCAATATTGTGGGCAGTTAGGAAGCGCTGCATGAACGGCCTGCAGAATTCCGGGTCAGCACTTAATTTTTCCGGGGCACCGTGGTGATATATCCACTCGCTTTCCAGCATTTCCGTCATGTTTTCTGACGAGCGCGTCTTTGCTATCGTCTTTTCTCCGTACCTCGTCCCGAGGTCTATCATGTTCATCACTTCGAAATTTTCCTCCCTGATATATACTATAACATAGTCCGCTTGTATCTCAACATTAAAAGCTTCATTGACATGTGTCAGCGAGACCTTATTCTTGTCTTTTGGTCGACCCGTGGACGCACATATATCACATGCGCTATGTACCTTATCACATGCTTTACCTATGTGGTACAACTACCCACGTCCCGACCACTCGGAAACGTGGGGGGGTTAGTGTGATGGAGCGCGCGACGCGGGGTACCCACGCGAGCGCAGACCGATCGGAAGAACTCGTAAAGAGGGAAGGCACACGTGGCCGGTGACGCGCAGCTGAGTGGAGGTGCTATAACCACACAGCCGGTCACGGGTTAGAAGCCTGAGGCTTAGAGGTAAAACCGGACGGAATTAGCAAAAAGCCGTAAAGGGAAGGGAGGCGAGTCTGCCCTCGTTTACTGGAACGGGAGAGGTGCCCCCGGTCTTAACCCCTAAGTGGGGCGCCAGGAGACCTGTCCCGCTACAGTAGCTGTTACATACGGTATACCAGCTACTGTACTAAATTGGCTAATTAGTACCATTAACCACTAATTGCTAATTACTTACCGAACGGGTCGCACACGTGTGCCCGTGGCCAGGACCGGCGCCAACGGTTATGCCACGTGTACGCCGTGGAGGTACTACTGTGCTTTCAGAGGGCGCGTGCACGATTACTACAGTAGTAACCGCCCGTCCAGGCGGTTCTCATCTCCCACCGGGGGTCGTGGTGTGGAATTGTACCACAGACCCCCTTCCTTACTCCGTGACACGTCCCCGTCGCGACTGGAGGTTGACATGACCGGCTTGCAGGGTGTCCCATCCGTACGGGGAAGCCCGCGCCGACCACAGGGACGCGAGCGGACTACGGCCAACTCCATAGGGGAGCCTATGGAGTTTTTGGTATTTAACCGCGTCGGATCCCCTGGCGCGGCAATGGGTCCCCTCACGCTTTCCTTTTCCTCCACATCACCCCACACCATGCACCCCACTATCTCCACTTCTTCATCTCGTCTCATTCCCCTGTCCTCCTCCCGTATGGACAACCGATCATCCGAGCGGGGTCGCCCCCCTCGGGCTCAGCTCCCTACGGCGCCAGCCGCGCCGGTCCCGACCTTTCACCCGGCGCTGGCGGCGGGCCCCGTGGGCCAACCCGCGGCGAGCATCGCAGCCCCGCGGGTGCGAGCTTCGGGCGCGGGGGTTCTTCCTTCGCGCGGCCCTCCCGCCGTCCAGTGTCCCCTGCCGCGCCCTCTGCGCTCAGCCCCGGCTCCCCAAGTCGGCGAGACGACCGTACTGAGACGGTCCCCCGACTGGGTTGTAGCCACGGGGCAGGCGGCGGCCGGAGCGGGTAACCGCCCGGTACCGCCGGACCGGTACGCGACCAGGCCCCCGGCGACAGAGGCTCCGCCATCCGGCTGGCTCCGGACGGGTGTTCGTGCCGTTTGGAGTTTATTGCTCGGAGCCGACTTGGACCACCGGATTCCCCGGGGTGGTCGCAACCCCTCACAGGCGCAGCCGCCGATGTCCGTCTAGGCTTACATCGGAACGGCCTTCCCCGATGCCGCTCGGTTTGGGGGCCATCCCCAGGCGGCGGGGTATCCGCACGCCCTCCCCTCGCGGACGAGTCCGCCAAGATAACCGCCTGGCCGCTTGGAGGACCCGTTGGGTCCACGTGCCCCATCGCGTAATGGCGGATTCCCGCTCGGATCTTCTGTACATCCGCTGTGCGGGTGAGGACCAGTACCATTCGCGGTTGTTCAGCCTCTTCGAGAGGTTCGGCGGGGACGTGGATCCTAAGCCCCACGTGCAGTTGGTGGCATTCCCCCGCCTGTTCGACCGGTGGTACAGTGTGGCCAACCGTGTGCGGTGGGGCGACAATTCCGCCAAGGAGAGCCGGCTGCGGTGTCGCCGCGCCGATGCCTACTTCCACATGTGGCACACGACGGAATTCTTCGCCGTGCCCACGGGCGCTAGGGGGCAGCTATACCCAGCCTTACCGGACGGTTGGAGCAATCTGGAAGCTCCACAGTACCTCTGCGTCCCCACCCCCAGCGTGCTGGCGTATGCCGCAGCGCAGTGGATGCCAGACGGTTCCTTCGGGCGAGAGGCGACGCCCGGGATGCGTCGACTGATCGACGCCATCCCGCTCTCGGAGTGGACCGTCCTGGCGTTTCCGTGTTTCCTACACGCCGCACGGGACGTCCTCCCGTTCTTCACAAGGTGTCCGGACCCTCGCCTGGCGAGTCGGAACGAGAACGAACCCGGCGAGCGAGGCTCTCTCTTCCGGCTATCGGCGGGGCTTTTGCAGCTCATCCGATCGGTCGAGGTGGCCGCCATCCTCGAGGGGACGTCATTCGACCCGGTTGGCGCGGAGGCCATCCTCAATTTTTCCGAACGGTTGGACTGGTCCCTTCGAGAGCGCGGCGATTTCGTGTGGTACAGTTGGGCCCGCGGCTGCTCCTTGCGGATGCCGCATTGGGATGGTACGTCGGCGGAGGCTGACACCTGGTACGACCCCCTGCCCGACGACGGTTCGCCGTCGTACGGTGCGGTCATCGCCTCCGGTGACGGGTGGGGCGCCGCGGTTGCCTCCGCCGGAACTCCCGCCGAACCGTCCGTTGAGTCTCTGCCCGTGTCGACCGCGCCGGTTCTACCGATGCCGGGGGACACCGCCCTCGGAGAGGGCCTTCCAGTCGGTCCCTCGACGCCTCCTACGGTGGGCGATGCGATCACTGCAGATTCACCGCCTGCGACCACGGAAGCGCCGGCCACGGAAACGCCGGTCATGGAAGTGCCGGTCACGGACCCCGCTCCGGTGGGGGCCCCTCGCGAGGTTCCTACTGTCAAGCCCGCGGGGGACAACCTCTCTGCGGTAGCTACCGGATCGGTGCCGGGTCCAGCCGTCTTCCCCGTCAGCGAAATGACCGGGACGGGGACACAGACCCCCTCCGTGGCGGCCGATGGAGCCCCGAGTGTGACGCTAGCAGACGAAGCCCCCGTCTTGGTCCCAGACGCGCAGGCCGCCCTGCGCGCTCTGCAGACGGAGTGCGGCTACGCGGGTGTCCCTGCACCGACCACCCTCGCGGCGGCTTTGGAGTCCGCGCGCGCCTGGCTGGTCGAGGCGACTCAGCTCAGGGCGTGGGTGGCCGGCTTGCAGTTCGCCATCCGCCAACGCGACACTGGCGAGGATCTCCTGCGCAGTGAGACGATGGCGCGGATCCGTGCGGCACAGGACCACCTCGCCGTCTTGAGCGAGCAGGTTTCCGCGAAGAGACTGTACGGTGCAGCCGATGCTGATTCCGCCCGCGCGGCGGTGCGGGGAGCGGAGCCCTCTGCCAAGCGTCAACGCCGTGAGTAATGCCAGTGGGGGAGGCGGGGAGAGTAGCGAACCGCCTCCGGGGACCAGGTCCCGTCCATTCCAGTAAATTGCCCCCTGTTCTCCTTCTTCTTCCTCTTCTTCACTGCCCTTCCCGCTCGGTACTGTAGTCCCTCCGCGCCGGTCGGGTCCGGCGCGTGACAGGGGTCGTGTGAAGCATTGCTCGCGCGTCCGCGGCGGGGGCTTGCCGCCCGGCAGGGGGCTCCGGCGCATCCTTGCTCATGATACCCCCAGCCGCGGCTCCGCCGCCCCGGTAGGCGAGGGCTCGGGCGCCACTACAGCGCCACTTTCCCCACCTGCCCGCCGGTCGTCATCGTGGCGGCCGGGTTACCCTCTGCCTCATGCCGGCGAGACTCCGCGCGGTGAGTGTACCAAGTGTTCGCGGGGCGGGTCCCCCAGCTACCCCCGCGACACTGGAGGGCATCCGTCCGGTAGGTAATTTTAGCCGGATTTTACCGCCCCGCGACGGGTGGCCTTTTCAGCGCGTTGACGAACTCCGATTGGGTACTCCCCGAGGATCGGAGGCGTATTGAACTGCCGCCGTGGTCCAGCGGCCACACGTGCCGGGCGGTGTATGCCACTGAGTGGCGCGAGTCTCGCGCAACTCGTGGTCCACAGTGCCCTGGAGCCCCGGCGAGGTCGTCCCCATATGGTATTTACGCGCTGGGTTCCATCTCTCGGCAGCGGGTAGGCACCGGGGCGCCGAGCCGTTTGACCACCGCCGCGTCGGGTCGTCCTGTCGGCGGGTCAGCTTCCTCCGCGCCGGTCCATCCGGTACGGCTCGAGCGGCGGCACGCGGGGGATCCGCCTGCGGCATAAACGGGTGGTGGCCGCCTGGAGGAGACCCTCCGCGGAGTCGCCCCCATCCGCGCCGGGTATTCCAGTGCAGGGTTTGAGGTGGCGCACGTGGGGTTCCGCGTGCGTCTGTAGCGACCTTGCCCCCTCCTGCGCCGGGTCTTCCGGCGCAGGGTTTGCGGTGACGCGCGCGGGGTTCCGCGTGCGTCTATGGCGGCCTTGCCCCCTCCTGCGCCGGGTCTTCCGGCGCGGGGTTTGCAATGACGCGCGCGGGGTTCCGCATGCGTCTGTGGCGATTGATCGCGGCCCGGGGGAGGTCCTCCGCGGGATCGTCCCGCCCCGCGCTGGGTCGCCCAGTGCGGTGTTAGCGGTGGCGTGCGGCCGCCCGCGTGCGCCAGAAGCAGTCTATGAAGGCCTGGGGGAGTCCCTCCGCGGGTTCCCAGGTATCGTCCGCTGCGGCGTAGCCATACCAGCGGACCTTGTACTGGGTTCCTGTGCGGTTCTCCCGGTGACCGACCAAATGGTCGACCACATACTCCGCGGCGGGTTCGGGCTCTCCGTCCGCCGCGGGCTGGGTCGGGGCGGCCGCAGTAACGTCGCAGGGTCCCCGCGGCATCCGGGTTATCCGGTCGATGCTCACGCGGTTTGAGACCCCGTCTTGATTGACGACCACTGTGGTCTCCGTAGCGGATCGGACCCGAAACGGGCCTTCCGTTTTCGGTAAAAGCTTGACGGAGAGTCCCCCGTCAATACTCGGCAGGTCTCCCCGTTCGGTACTCGTCAATGGCCGAGGTGGGCGGTCGACATAGACCAGGTCTCCCACCTCGATGACCGGACGGAAACGCTGCGCGCGCTCGGCGCCGACCTCAAGCCACGCGGCGTCGCCATGCTCGGCATGTCCGGCAACGACGCCGCCGAAGTCGGCCTTGTATCGCCTTTGCGACGCGGTTAGTTTCACCCGCGTGCCCTCAAGGACGTCGGGGAGTTTACGCAGCGTCGCACGCTTGTACTGTATCGGGGTCCTCGGATCTTCCGTGTTGGAGACGGCATCCTGCGGTACAGTTCCAGGCAGTGCCAAACCGGACGGTGGTCGCGTCAGCACCAGGTCGAACGGGGTTGTCTCCGTCGACCGGTGGACCTGCGTGTAATACGCGAAGGTCAGGGGCTGGATGTATTCGTCCCAGTCCCTCTGATGCTCCGCGACATAATGTCGGAAGCGCTGTACCAGAGTACGGTTGAACCGCTCGGTTTGCCCATTCGTCTGGGGGTGATAGGCGGTAGTCAGGTAATGCCTCACCCCCAGGAGGGCACACACGGCGTCGAAGAACTTGGCGGCAAACTGCGGTCCGTTATCGGTTAGCACGTAACGTGGTGCGCCGTATACGTATACCCAGTTTTCCAAGAAGGCGTTAGCCACAACCGACGCGGTGGTGGTCCGTAACAGGATACTGCGCGTCAGCTTGGTGAACCGGGCGGTCATGAAGAGCACGTGGCGATTCCCGTGCGCCGTCTTCGGTAAGGGGCCGAGCACGTCCATTGCGACGAAATCCAGCGGTCCTGCCGCTGGGAAGACCTTGAGATCCTTCTGGCGCCTCACCAGGGTTCCCCGGGTGGCAGCGCATGACGCGCAATTCCGTACGGTACTGAAGGCGTCGTTGGCCATATGCGGCCAATGATATTCCCGCCGGAGGGTATAGTACATCCTCGTACCGCCCGGGTGTCCTGCCAGGCGGGTATGATGGGCGAGGTACAATATCTTCGCCCTGAGCCGTTTCGGTACAACCCGCCGCAGGGTCCTATCGGAGGGGGGAGTTACGGACGACGAACCCGTATCGGTCAACGTCGTACCGCGAGTCCGGGTTTCCCACGGTCTCGGCGGCCGCCCTACAGAAGGGGTCCTCGGCCTGTTCCCGAAGGAACTCTTCCACCGTTACGGATGAGACGTCGCGTTCTTCGGGTATAACCACGAACGCGTGCTCAGCTCTCCCCGGGTCGAAGGGGGCCTCCCAGTGTACGGTACCTTGGCGGGGGTTATGGTCCTCCTCTCGCCATTGTACCGCGAAACACGGGACCTCGTCGTCAACCGGTTTGGAGGTCGCGCCGTCCACTCGGAGGCGTGACACACCATCCGCGAGTTTGTGCTTAATACCCGGTCGGTACTGTACGTCGTAGTCGTACTCGGCTAGGCGGAGACGCCAGCGCGCTAGCTGGCCGGAGCTATCCGCCAAGTTGAGGACCCATCCGAGGGCCTCATGATCCGTACAGAGGTCAAACTTGTTCCCATATAGACATGGTCGAAGCGTGAGGATGCTCCACACGACAGAAAGGCATTCCTTCTCGGTAGTGGTGTAGTTCTTCTCCGCGTCCGTGAGGGCGCAGCTCCAATAACCGATCGGTAGGCGGTCGCCGTCCGGCTGCTCCTGTAGCAGGGCGCAGCCAACATGGTACGCGCACGCGTCTGCATCCAGGGTGTACTTCTTTCCGTACCGGGGTAGGGCCAATATCGGTGGGGACACGAGGCGCTTCTTCAGTTCCACGAACGCCTCGTATTCCTTATCGGTCAGGACTTCGAACTCGAAGGGTTGGTTCTTGCCCGTTTTCCCGTTTAACGGAGCGGCTATCTTCGCGAAGCCCTTCACGAACCGGCGGTAAACATTGCACATTCCTAAGAATGACCGCAATTCCGTTTGGTTCTGTGGAGGTCGAGCGCGCTCGATGGCGACCACGTTGCGGCGCTCGCCCTCCAACCTGCCTGGTGGGATCACGTGTTCCAGGTAGGTGACCGAGGTGTCGAAGAAGGCGCACTTTGACAGCTTCAGCGACACGCCCGCGTCCCGCAGTAGGCGTAGAACCTTGCGGACGTGCGCGACGTGTTCCGTTACGGTCTTGGAGTAGATGATAACATCATCCAGGTAGACCAGTGCGGTTTCCCATTTTACCCGCGATAGTGTGATGTCGACGGCCCGCTGAAAGGTTGCGGGGGCGTTCTTCAAACCGAACGGCATGCGGAGGAATCGGTACAACCCGCAGTGCGACGCGAACGTCGTCTTGTCGCGGTTCTCCTCGGCGATTTCTACTTGCCAATACCCGCTGTTGCAATCCAGCGTGGTAAAGACAGTAGCGTCGCCGAGGGAATCGATGCACTCGTCCATTCTCGGCAACGGATAGGAATCCCGAACGGTGACTGCGTTGAGCTTTCTGTAGTCGACACAGAACCGCATGGTACCATCCTTTTTAGGGACGAATACAACGGGGCTTGCCCACTCGGCCGTGGCGGGTTCGATTACCCCTGCCCGGAGCATGCGGTCGATCTCCGTTTTCTCTTTTTCTCGTGCGGTTGGTCCAGCGCGGTAAGGCGCCTGGTAAATCGGGCGAGCGCCGGGCTTGAGCTCAATCCGGTGCTTCGTGGCCCCGATTTTTCCCAGCCGGCCGGTCCACATCCCCTTGAATTCGGACAGTACCACGAGGACCTCCGAGCGCACTTCCTCGTCCTCGGCACCGATGTGGACGTCCTCCTGCCAGGCGTTGGGGTCCTCCTCAGGGGCGGCGGTGTCTTCGGGTTTATCCGTTCCAACTGCCCCGAGGTGCGCCTTGGGCAGCGTGGCTTTTTCAGCCCCGCCCTTGTCTGTACGGTTATCGGCGGCTTCTTCCGCGCCATCCTTTGCGGTTGAGAGGTTGGCATGAAATATCCCTCCCCCTTCCTTAGCTTCGGCCGCTTCCGCGGCCGAATCGCCAAGGGTCAGGATGTGAGTGGGCGACGGAAGAGCCAGTCCGATTACGGTATGCTTCGGGATGTGAACCGAGCGGTGCCCAAAATTGCTGAGCATTACCGAGAACGGTTTTTCGGGGACAACATCCATGACCCCCTGTGCCATGAGAGTCAAATTCTTGTGCGCGGTTTTTGGGGAGTTCTGCAAAAAACATGACGCCCCCACTGGCGTGCCGACCCTCACCATGGCCTGCGTCATCGGGGGAATTGTCACCCCACTGACGAGGCGGATCTTCCGTGACGGTGTGTTGGCGGGGAACGCCACCTGCTTCCGTTTGGGTTTATCCGACGGCGGTAGTTTTTGTGCGGTGCTCCTCGAGGCCATCTTGCGGTCGTGCCTCGAGGGGATTGTTCCGACCAACGCCACGGGTGGCGCGTCGTGGAACACGACCTTCCGTTGCGGTGGGAGGATCGCCTTGACGTGGCGATCCAGGAAGGTCGTACCGAGGATACAGTCCACGGCGAGGCTCGTGACTACCAGGAACGGGACGCCTGCAACAAACTCACCAATTCGGACGAGCAGGGGGACTTCCCCTAGTGCCCTCATCGCGCGGTTTGACGCGTCGATGAGCGCTGGGTTCCGAACCGGTTTTATCGATGGTCGCCACGACTCGGCGACACACCGTAAATGGATGAGGTTGGGGCCGGCTCCTGATTCAAGTACTGGCGTGATGGCGACCATCAACGCCTGCTTCTGACCAACCGTCGCGGAGATCTTGTAATTCTGCTTCTTGAAGAAGCAGATGGCCTGGACTTCCGTTCGGTTATCCGGCTGCGCTTCCACTGGCGCAGCCGGATCGGGGGTGCCTAAGCTTCTGAGGCTGGGCACGGGGAGAGACGTCGTCGCCTCTACGCGTCCTCCCCGGCTTCCCCCGTCAGCAGCAAGTCCTCGCGGATTTCATCAGCGGCTCGCGCCACGTGGTCTTCGGTATGGTCGAGGTGCGGTTCCTCGACCACGTTGACGCCCGCGGGGGCTGTTTGACGCTGGTTCCGCCAAGCGGACGGCCCCTGGCGGCTGAACGGGGATCCCGGGCGGAGGCCTTGCCGGATGCGTAGCTTCTGGTAGTTGGCCTCTCGTGCCTCCAGAAGCTTGGCCCGCAGGCCCGCATCGGCAACGACGGGGCACCCCTCTTGTCGGTGCGTGGTGTCCAGGCAGAACCGGCACGGTGGCGGTCCGGGAATCTCCCGCCGGAGAACCGGACGCGGGGATCCTGCCCTTGCCTCCCGTACGGTCCTGTGCGCACGTCGACAGGGTTGGCGGGTGGATCTGGGGCGCTGGCCGTCGAGGCTGCCGGCGACGGATAATAACTCGTCGGTGGCGAGCTCATCGAGGTCGGCGTGGCGGTTTGGTCCGTCACAGCCAGCATTGCTTCTTCAGCCAATCCCCCGGCCGTCGGGATGTCGGATGCCGACTCAACCGACAGCACGGGCCTCGTCTTTGCAGTGCGGTCGAGTCTTCTAACCGCTCCGGACTGCTCTCGGTGAGCCATGGCTGACATCCCTTGTCGGCGGGAGGCCCGATTGGTTTCCCCGATCGCTTGCGCATAGCGAGCGACGGATTGGTAGTCCACATCCGGGTGCGTGGCGAGGTGATTACGAACCTGCACGCACGTGGCGGGCAGTAACCCCTCTACGAACAGGGACTTCAACCGCCTGTCGGAGAATACCGTACGGCAGCGGAGTGCCTTGTCACAGAGGTGGTTACTGTAAACCTCCTCCGTCATATTTGAACTTTGACGGAAGGAGGTCACATCCCCAACCGCTTCGAAAATTACCTCGTCGGTAGCATAGGTGCGCAACAGAAAGTTGACAACCTGTGGGTATGTCCGGAGCAGCTCGCGCCGCTCCACATCAACCGCCATGGTATTTCCATTGAGGCGGGACTGGAGTAGAGCGTGAGCCTGACCGGTGAGGTAGAACTGGAAGCACCACACGGCGGCTCCCTCGGTGATCCCGTTGTGGTCGCACGCCAGATTGAGGCGTGCGAGAAATCCCAATACCGCAATCGGATCTTGACCGCTGAATGTGTGGGACCTCATCTGCACGTCCAGTTTTTTCCGGTAACGGTTAATGTGCCGCGCTACGGTAGAGTCGTAGCGCGAGCTACGCCGTTCCAGGCGGTAGCTCTTGTAGTTGACGGCCTTCGTAAACAGGTCATTGAGGGGCCTGATTACCGTGGGCCGTCGCTCGTCGCTCTTCGGGGCAGCCCGGCGGTGTCTGCTCGAGCGACGACGCTCCTCATCCGACTCGGTGTGGTAGTCTTCCGAGTCGGACGGGTCGTGCCGGTGCCGATCTCGGCTCCTGTCGCGGCGTGCCCTGTGGCCCCGCCTGCAAGAGTCTTCCGAACCGGATGGGTCATTGTCGGAGGGGTATTCTCCC